AAGAGTCTCGCGCCGACGCCGCTGCAGCTGCAGGTGGCCACTGCCAGACGCTCCCGACGGACCAGCTCCAGGGGGACAGCCACGACGGCTACCGCCACAACCCCAACTAGCGTACTACGCATGAAGCTGCTAGGGCGTGAGAGACTCACGCGGGCGTCGCTGGACCTGCATCTGGCCACCGCCAGTAGCACCAGTAGCAGTAGTAGCAGTAACAGCAGCAGTAAGAGCCTAGCAGTAGTAACAGAAGGAGCAGCGGTAGCAGCAGTAGCAGCGCATGCAGGGCAGGCTCGGTAGGCAGGCAGGTGTGGCAGGCAGGCAGACAGGTAGGCAGATGGCGCGGCAGTGAGCGAACAAGGCAGGTGCTCACTAGTGGCGAGAAGGGCAGGCGCACGACGGCGACGACGGCGGGGCCGCGACAGCTGTGGCAGAGCAGGGCCGCGTCGACGGTAGGGCAGGTCCACAACAGCTGCAGCAGGGCGGGGCCGTGACAGCTGTAGTGCGGGCCGCAACGGCAGCAGAAGGCTCCGCGGCAGCTGCTGCAGGGCGGGGCCACGACCGCGGCAGGAGGCTCCGCGGCAGCTGCTGCAAGGCAGGGCCGCGACTGCGGCAGGAGGCTCCGCGACAGCTGCTGCAGGGCAGGGCCGCAACGGCGGCAGAAGGCTCCGCGGTAGCTGCTGCAGGGCAGGGCCGCGACTGTGGCAGGGCGCTCCGTGGCAGCTGCTGTAAGAGCAACGGTGGCAGTCAGGCAAGGGCGGCATCCAGAGGCAGCCGCGACGAACAGGGGCAGCCGCGGCGCACGAGGCTGCAGCGCGCTGCGCGGGCTGCGAACGCGGCGCGCGGGGCTGCAGCGCAACGCGCGGGCAGCGAACGCAGCGCGCGGGGCTGCAGCGCGACGCACGGGCAGCAAACGCGACGCGCGAGGCTGCAACGTGACGCGCGAGCAGCGAGCGCGACGCGCAGGCTTGTAGCGCGACGCGCTGGCAGCGGACGCGACGCGCGGGGCTGCAGCGCGACGCGCGGGCAGCGGGCGACCTGGCCTGACGCGTCAGCAACCTGGCGGGGCGGCGCTCTGGTCTGACGGGCCTGCAGGGGCGGCTTGCGGGCCTGACGGACCTGCAGGGGCGGCTCGTGGGCTTGACGGGCCTGCAGGGGCAGCACGCGGGCCTTACAGGACTGCGGGGGCGGTGCGCTGGCCTAGGGCAGCAGTAGGCAGCGCGTGGGCTGCAGGACAGCGCGCGCAACGCATCACGTCACATGGCAAGGCAGGCAGGGCAACACGTGAGGTAGCGCGGTAACCGCAATAGTAGGTGGGCCCAAAAAAAAAAACGGTCCTACGGACCTAGTGCTCTGAAACCATGTTAGAATCTAGCAGCAGGAACGAATGCACTATTGAAGAGTTGGGTACAAGTATGAAACCCTAAACGGGGCTGTACCCCATATTGGCTACCCCACTACAGCCTACACACATATAACATGCATATGCTTTGACAAGTATCAACTACGAGACGAAGTGGTTGGGCATGTTTTCGTGGCGGTGTTTGGGAAAACCAAGGATGGATTTCCCTATGTGAAGTGCAGCATCTGCATGTCGTACACGAAGGAGAAAACGATGTACGCCAGGTAAGGTGTTGACGGTGGCCGTAACTTGCAGACGCAGTCGTTCAGGGCACACGAGCACATGGGCATCTTTCGGAGCAGGACACGCCTAACATTCCGCGGCAATCCTACGGGGTCTATCTGACACGGTAAGTCACTACATTTGTGTGTTGCTTTTTTACGCAAGTTGCGTTTCCGTGTTTTGTTAAAAAATTACTTACCATTTTATTATCAACTGCGCGGGTACGACTTCCAGCAGATGGTCCACAGCATCAGTACCTCACGCGGGTGCAGATGGACCACATCCTATCTTCCCCCTTCCTGAGCATCAGCTGCGACGAGAGCACTAACCGATCGTGAGGAAACACATGATTGTTTACCTGACGTTTTTGAAGAATTGCCAAGTCGTATGCGAGTTCTTTACCTTGCTGACGGTTGAGAGGCGTGATGCAGGGTCTCTGTTCGAGGTGCTCTTGAACCATCTTCGCTCCGCAGCCGTTGATGTGTCCAAAATTGTTGGCATCAGCACGGACGGGGCGTCGGTCATGACGGGGAAGGATAACGGATTGGTGGCGCGTCTATGGGAACACGTACCGCACCTTTTTTCCTGTCACTGCATCGCCCACCGGTGTGTATGCTAGTTGTTTTCCTAAACCCATGTGCGTGTTATTACTTTTCATATCACCTGTTAAATTATGTCCCGTGCGTTCAACAGAGAGGCTCTGGCTGTGAAGGATGCTGCTAAGTCAAACCTGGACCTTGAAATGGTAGACAAGGTGGTGCACACTGTGGCGGCGCTGCTCGGAAACTCAAGTGTCTGGATTCAACGCTTCAAGTACCTGCAACGAGTGATCTACAATACGAACCTTGAAGTCCAGGGCCTCCACACGGTTCGATGGTTGTCATGAGAGGATGCGGTTGGCCGGTTGTGCAAGGTCCTCGGCGCTTGCATTGTGCTGCTTTGGGAGCACAACCACAAGGCCTACAAGATTGTGACGTGCTACAAGTTCTAGTTCTGCCTCTTCTTCCTCGCCGACATCCTCGCCGACATGAACGACCTCAATCGTTGCTTCTAAAGGCGTGCGGTGAGTTTTTTTAACCAATGTGCGATGGCATGTGATTGTGAATCTTATTTTTTACTGTTGCTAACCGTATATCATGTTTACGATGTCTGCACTTTAGCTGGATATGACAGAGATTGCGAAGACCATTGATTCCACCACGGGGGATCTGACGGAGCGGTCCTTGACGAACGAAAAGCCTTTCGGAGGAGAGGGCATCTGGCTGGTCAAATTTCTCAAGCCCACGAGGAGGGTGGAGGCAAGCAGGTTGCGAGGGGTGGACGAGGAGGGACGCCCGATCAACCACCTCTACACCATGCACGAGACGAAGGTCAAGGGACACAAGCAGGGAAGCACCTACGCCGATTGCGTGGAGTTGTGCCGCAGATTCGCCCGGGATTGCGTGGACAGCCTCAACGACCGTCTGGACGACCTGGGGAAGCTGGGACCGATGAAGCTGTTCCAGGCGGGGAAGTGGCCGAAGATCAAGGCTCAGCGAGAGAAGAAGTGTCGCTGCAGGGATGCAGCAAGCTTTTCCGCAACAGGCTGCCTGGATTCAACCTCAAGGCAGCAGAGAGGGAGCTTCCAACATTCTATGCGATCATGGAGACACACCACGAGCTGGAGAGCTTCTTGCAGGGGCTGACCACTTTCTAGGGAATGCAGACTCCAAGAGGTAGCGCTCTGCTCTGGCCAATGCTGTTTCCGAATGTTGGTTCGCTTGTTAAACATTTGTTCTCGTTGTGTGCTTGAATGTGCTTGGCAGGAGATGGCCCAACCTCATCCTTCTGTGGTAGGCGCTCGCTGTCCTCCCCCTCTCCACCATGGAGTGCGAGAGGGGTTTCTCCAGGCAAAACGTCATCAGGTCTTGGGTGCGTGGAGCGCTCTGCAATGCGCGATTGGGCGAGCTGTTGCAGATCTCGCTCCTGAAGTATGAGGTCGACTGGCCGGAAGCACTGGAGGTCTGGAGGTCCATGCGGAGGAGGCGCCCTGTGAAGAGCCTGAAGCTGGTTGTAGAAGATAGAGACAGGAAGAGGAAATTATATTTTTTAAACACACGAAGTGTTTTCAAAATTTCGTATTTCGAAAGCGCAACTGCTTGTAACGCATGTTTTGGCATCGTCGAAGCACGCTAAACGCCCTTCTCCAACTACAAATCGTGGGTTGGAGCTCATTTCCCTCCACCCACGTCTCTCATTTTTCCAACGGCTCATACAACTCTAGTTTCTCAAGCTCACTTCTAGTTTTACCGTTCAAGCTGGCGAGAACTCGCTCGTTGCCTAGAGGCGTTTCCCCTTCAACTTAATTAGCCGACATCCTTAACCAAAACCGCTCAACCATGGCTGCAACGCCGACACTTAACAGTGCTAACAACAACGTCGCCAACGACCCGATTATTTCCGACAACGACCGTAACGCCCGTGAAACGACGGGCGAGCGTCGCACCAAGCGCCTGGCAGACTGCGAAACATCCGGCCCGACCGCCGTGGACGTGCTGCTGGGCGGGCTCGAAGTCAACAAAAACGCCGAGAAGCACCCCCAGCACCCTTCGGCGCCAGTGGCACCTGTGGTGCCAGTGGCGCCTGTGGCGAACGTGGCGACACACGCCACTGACGCGGAGCACGCGCCAGCTGCACACGCCTCCATCCGGCCGTCGCGTCAGCGCTAGAGGCGTTGTACGGCCGCTTCGTGTGACGCGATGGCTGACCAAGCCTTGACCGAGGCGTTGACCCCAGACCAAGTCAAGGCCCTCCTGTACCTGTTACAGCAGCACCCCGCAAGCGCGACCGCCGCCGAAACTACACAACCTGCAGCATCTGCATCGGCTAAAAACGACATTGCAAAAAAAGGAGAAAGGGGCAAAAGGACCATCAACGCGCCGCCACGACAAGGAGGCGGTGACCACTGCACCTGAAGCCGCAGTGGTCAGCAACGACTCTGACGATTCAGACGACGACGCCGGTGAGGCTCCGAACAACGCAACAGATTTTGCCTCCATAGAAATTCCCCCCCCCTCCCCCCCCCCCCCCCCCCCCCCTCCCTTCCCCTAACCCCACTTTTTCAGCGGCAAACTTCATCGACCCAATCGTGAGAGCAAAAGTGGACCCCCTTGAGGACGTGAGGGCCTACCTAAAGCACGCGGAGTACAAACTGCAGCGCGGCGATGCGGTGGGCGGACTTGAAATGGTCGCGAGCGCCCTCGACTACATTTCGGAGCACTACGAAATGCTTCAAGTCGAGGACGCCACCGAGGATCGCATCGCCAAGAGGTTCAAGATGTACCAGCAGAAGAGCCTCCTCACCTCCCGCCCCTTCAAGCAAGCCGTCGCCGATGTGGCAGCAATGGATCGCGCGGAGGGTATGCACGCTCGATCCCACCGCGGCGGAGGACGCGGGCCAATGGCGTTCAACCCCAAGCGTGGCCCGCCTATGGGGAGCTTCCACGGCTTCCGTGTGACGTGCTTCTACTGTGGCCAGCTGGGGCATGTGGCAAGTGGCTGCCCGCGGAATGGCAATGGTGGCCAAGGAACCGCACCCGTGGTGTAGGGACGGTCCTTGAGCATTTGCGCCTTAGCGCGCGTGGCATGGTGCACGTCAAGTGCGTTGACCGGGCAACCCAAAGGGGTTTGCGATGGCTATTTGCTAAGCCCTAGTTAGGGGTGATGATTAGGCTATAGGCCTAGGAGGTGGGAGAGGGAATAGAAAGCCCTTTGGTCCCCCACGCGGTGCGGGGCGGATGCATGCTAGGAAGCATGGCTATGTGTGGCCCGCTGCTTAGAAGGGCTTTATTTTGAAAGAAGTACTTTCTGATCTTGGCTTGGATGACAAAAAAAAAAAAAAAAAAAAAAAAAACCAGAGAGCGACGCAATGGCAAGCACCCACACGATCCCGAGCAAATGGCCCCACCACTCGTCGGTATGGGCTGCCTTGGTCTTGGCCACGGGCCAAAGGGCATGTCATGACATAAGGAAAAGCAAGAGCAAATGCAAAGAGGGAACAAGAGAGAGACAGCGAGAGAGAGAGAGAGAGAGAGAGAGAGAGAGAGAGAGAGAGAGAGAGAGAGAGAGAGAGAGAGAACAAGAGAGAGAGAGAGGGAGAGAGAGACAGAGAGAGAGAGAGAGAGAGAGAGAGAGAGAGAGAGAGAGAGAGAGAGAGAGATGAAGGAGATGAACCGCGTCACGCGGACGCAATGGGTGACAAACGGTAATTGTGACTTGTTGATGCGTTTATAGGCACACGTCCATCGCATGCACATTCCCCTGGGGCACGATGGCTTGCATTCTAACACTTTTCTGGTCCATTGCCACTTGGCAAATATGCAGAGGTAATACGATATGAGGCACCAGGCAACGGAGATCCATAAGAGTTTGCTGTCACTGAAAAATCGGTCATGCAAATGCGCGGGCGGCTTCGCGCAACCCTTGCATGGTGGAGCTCGTGGTGCCCCAGCAGCCTCATCCTCTCTGTCATCGCTAACGGTTACTGGCTGCCATGGAGCCACAACCCACCACAACCGTTTCACGAGCGCAACCATCTCGGGGCGCACACACATGGTGCGTTCACACGCACTACCATTCGCGAACTTACAGAGACTGGCGCGGCGGTAGTCACTCCAGTAGTAGAGCTCACATGTATAAGCCCACTTAACGTGGTTGAGCAACGAGAGAAATGCAGGCTAATCCTCGACCTCAGGAAAGTGAACGTGCACCTTATCATCCCGAAATTCAAATACGAAGGCCTAAGCCGTGTGGCCGACCTGGCACGCATGGGAGATTGGATGTTCTCTATCGACCTCAAGTCAGGATACCACCATATTGACATACACAACTCTTGCTTGGCTTCGCATTTGAAGGGCGCACGTACTCCTTCCGTTCATTTTCCTTCGGCCTCGCCACAACACCATTTGTCTTCACACAGTTCATCAAGCAACTAGCCAGGCGTTGGCGTGAACAAGGCGTTCGAGTGATACCCTATGTGGACGATATCCAGTTCTTATGCACGTCCGAGGCCCACGCACAAGCAACATGCTAGCAGATAATTTCGGACCTTAAGATGGCGGGCTTGGTGATTAACGCGAAAAAAACACAGCTTTTACCATCACAATATCTGCGATTCTTGGGCGTCGAGCTGGACACCAAATCCGGACAATCTCCATCGGCGCCGATCAACGGGCATCACTCCACGCACATATCCGGAGCCTACTGGGTGCAAGCAAAGTGCGCCGACAAGTTCCAGTCCGCCACCTGGCCAGAGTCACCGGCACACTCGCATCAATGGCCGTCGCACTCGGTGCCACGACTCGTGCATTCAGCCACGCCATGCTACAAGCAATAAACGATGCGCCATCCTGGGGAAGCAGCATGATCATTTCCCCACCTTTTGCTGAAGAGTTGCAGTTCTGGCTTGAAGAGTTTGACAAATTCAACGGAGCACCATTCCACGTCCGGAACAGTTACGACGTGGTCATTCACGTGTACGCCAGCTCCCATAGTTGGGGTGCGACCCTGCTCACATTCCCTGGTGAACTCGAGGAAGCAAGCGCAGCCATGCCGGAACCAATGCACATAACGTCCAGCACGCGGAGGGAAATTGAAGGCGTCCTTTGGGCCCTTCGAACGTACGCGAACAAGGTTCAGCACAAGCACGTGCTCGTGAGGGTGGACAACCAAGGGGTCTTTTTCATCTCGCAAAGGCGGCTCTCGCACCCCTGACCTCACCACCGCTTGCAAGGACATCATCCGCACATGCATGGAGCTCGGCACTCGATTGATTGTCGAATGGATCCCACGCGAGCTGAACTCCCATGCCGATGAGCTGTCCAAGATAATCGACCATGACGACTACTGTTTGAAACAACCATGGATCCGCATCCTCAATCGCCGCAGGGGACCTCACTCAATCGACCTCTTCGCGAGCCCAAACAACTCGCAGCTGCCACGTTTTTGCTCAAAGATACCACACCCGGGGGCCACTGCAATTGACGCATTCTCGATTTCATGGTTGACCGAGAATGGCTTCGCGTTCCCGCCACCCCAGTTAATCCCAGCAGTCATCCACCACGCACAACGCACCCACGCATCCATCACCCTCATTGTCCCACACTGGACAGGGGCAGCCTGGTGGCCGCTCCTACAACCCTCCCCACCTAGCTGGGCCCCGCACATCCAAGCGCACATTCCCGTGACGCACGGCAGCCAATGTTTAGCAGTAGGAACGCACCGCACCGCTTTCTCATGTCAAAGTTAGCTGGCAGAAACAGAATTGAAGAAAGGAGGGGTTTCACTAGCAGTAGTTGGCATACATATAGCAAACCCTAACTGGGTAGTACCCGCTATAGAGCACCCCACTACAGGCTAGATAATAACATTCTGACACACCCCCATAGCCAAAGTGGGGTGTAATCAGCACAATGAGCAGGCATAGCAGGAGTTCACAATAATAAGCAAAGCTAGAGGTAATCACGGCGGGCAACTGAGGAGGAGGAGGAACTGTGGAAGGAGCGAAGATGGGAGGCAACGACTGAAGCTGCAGAGGCACGAGCACAGGAGCGGCTGACTCAGTGGCTACCGAAGCAAGGGCCACGGACTACTGGAGTGACTGGCTCCGCGGCTAAGATGAGCGGCAGGAGCAACGGACCCACTGGCGACTGGTGCAACAGGCTCACTGGCTACCGAAGCAAGGGCGACGGACTACAGGCGCTGCAGGAGACACGACAGCTACCTCCACACAACCTCCTCCAACTGACCCACACCCTTGACACACACCCCCTGCCGAACCCCTAACTCCACTCCCACGTCACCCCCCTAGCGCCATTCCCCTCGACTCCCACACCTCCACCCCCCTCAGCAGCAGCTGCAGCAGTGGGAGACGAACAAGGAGGTGGGGAGAGGGAAGGGGAGTACCCACATCGCGCACCCCCATGCTCGCCACCCCACACCCCCCACCACCGCGGAACGCACGGCAGCACGGGAGGAATGGGCAGCACGGGGGGGGAGGGGGGGGGGGGGGGGGGGGGGACGGTACAGGAGGGGCCGCGCGTCTCTCCTCAGGGCGCCAAAACGGACGGGCAGGGGGGCGCGCACGGCTCCCCAGGGCGCCGCGACGGACGGGCGAGGGGCGCGCGCGGCTCCCTAGGGCGCCGCGACAAGAAGGGCGGGGGCCGCGCGTGCTCCCCAGGGCGCCGCGACGAGCAGGGCAAGGGCCGCGCGCGGGTCCCCAAGACCGCGCGACGGGCAGACGGGCCGCGCGCGGCCTGTAGGCCCGTGCACGGCCTGCAGGGCGACGCGACGGGAAGGGCGGGGGGCTGCGCGCGGGTCCCCCACGGTAGGAAACCGCCGCGCGCCTCGGGGCGCACGGCGGCAGGAAGAAGGCGTGGCACGCCACAGGGGGGTGTAACAGACAGAGTAGCAGCGGAAGCAGTTAGGTGGTGGGCCCACCCACAGGATCGACCCAAGGGGGTCGACCTGCTGTGAAACCATGTCAAAGTTAGCAGGCAGAAACAGAATTGAAGAAAGGAGGGGTTTCACTAGCAGTAGTTGGGATACATATAGCAAACCCTAACTGGGTTGTACCCGCTATAGAGCACCCCACTACAGGCTAGATAATAACATTCTGACATCTCAGGCATAGGATTGCCTCATAGTACAATCGTCGCATTACGAGTGGTCTTCCACTAACACATCTCGTCCTCATTCGCGCAGACGTACTGCCAAAGCTACAAGTCCAGCTTCTAAAGATGCTCTCACAGTCTCGCGCTGACTCAACGATCCAAACATACGAGCCATATTGGGTCAAGTTTCGAGCCTTCTGTGCAAAGGTGGACCTCCCATTCCTGCCCGTGGCGGACATGACCCTCGCACTGTACTTGGTGTACGCCATCAAACACAAAGCCACCCTATCCATGGTACAACTTACATGCTCAGCCGTGAGCTTCGCCCACCGCATGACCGGGAGCGCATGCCCAACGGCAGAACCATTCACCACTCAAGTACGCGACTTCGCAAAAAGTCACTGTCCTCGCCCCACGACAGTGAAGTTCGTGACATGTCGGCTGGATACCTGCAATCTGACAACCCCGGGGAATTCCAGAAAGGGCTCATCCTCATTCTCATGTACTCCGGTTTCCTGCGATATTCGGACCTCGTCGCCATCGAGTGGCAAGACATCCAGTTCGACGACGAGGTCATGTGGATCCTCATTCCGTACTCCAAGACGGACCAAGCCGGAAAGGGCACATGGATACCTATCGCTGCAACACACGATCCCTTCTGCCCTGTCTGCTGCACTCGACGACTTATTCGACTCGCAGGATATGACCAGCAGTCGGGGGGGCCGTTGATTCGCATCTTTGGTCACAGTTCCACCCAAGGTGGCCAAGCAAGGCCACCATCATATCCGACAATCCGAAACTGGTTGCAAAGAGGCCTTCGGGAAGATCGGGCTTGGAGAACAGCAGCTGGGAACTCATTCCTTTCGCAAGGGTGCAGCCACTGCCGCGGCAAACACCGGCGTGCCAGACAGAATCTTCAAACGACTAGGCAGATGGCGTAGTGACGCAGCAAAGGAGATGTACGTCACGCCTAACGCTGAACATCTCGTCAATGCCTCCCGCCAGTTGCAAGACTGTGAAACAAGTGAACAGGAATGAAATGACTAAGTCAGAGTTGGGTACAAATACAACCCTAGAAAGCTGTACCCCATATGTGCTACCCCACTATAGCCTACAAACATGCATCAGCTATAATACTCTGACACACCCCCATAGGCTAAGTGGGGGAGAACAAGGGGTCACAAGACCAGTCAAGCAAAGCAAATCAAAGCAAGCTCAGGGTGGATCACAAAGTCACCACACAGTCCGAGCACAAGAGCAGGGCCAGAGGCCAGTTCACATGCAGGAGTACAGACATATATATAAAACTAGACAAGCAAGAGCAGGTATATATATATGTCACAGTACAAGTGAAGTCAAGAGGAGAGCAAGTGAGGCAAGACAGGTACAAGACCCAGCTGGGTGCAAAAGCGCTGATGGTCACAAGGCGCGAGTGCCTTGGTGAACACATCAGCAGTGTTGGCCTCAGAGGCCACGTACGCAAGTCGCAACTGACCACGCTGCTGCAGCTCATGAGTAAGGAAGTAGCGGAGAGCAATGTGCTTCGTTCTGTGCTCCAAGCGCTGCTCTCGACACAAGGCCAGCATGGCCTTGTTGTC